CCGGTCCTTCCATTTTTGTCTCTTGCCTGTCACCCTGGCATGTCGTGCTCCTGAGTGTCCTTCCTCGTCTCCCGTGTCTGTGAATTTGCCTTCTTCCATCCTCACTCATGCCTTCATCTCACAGCGCCTCCTCCCTTGCGTGTCGTGTTTCTGTAGGTGAGCTCTTGGATCCAGCACGGGCAGATGGGGTGTGCAGGGTGTGGAACTCGCACGCCGAGTGCTGCTGGTTACCTGTGGACTTCATGATTTTGTCGAAAGACTTCTCTGTTAGTGGAAAGCCGCCTGGGGGCCTCCGTGAATCTCTCTTCTGTTCCCCTTTTCCATCCAGCACCTGACCTTTTCCACAGTCTCCTTGCCAATAGTGGAGAAGTTCTCTCCTCTTCAGCTTAACACTGCCTGAAGCAGCCTTCAGAGCTTCACGGGGTTGAATTTCCATCTTTCTTTAAATCTTGTCTTAAAGCAAAGATGGGAGAGCTGTGGTCCGCTGTGCACCCTTCTGCTTAGAAACAGTGGAAGTGATCTGGGTGCTTTTGTTGTTTTGGTTGTGATCTCCCATTCTTTCCCCTCGATGTAGCGGGTTTAGTTCGGGTAAATGAGTGTGACTGATGGGCACTGGAGAGAGTTGGAGCTTCTGCTCCATGCCAGCTGGCTCTTCAGGTGAGAAGAGCCTCTGGCATGAGGGTGAGATATTTATTAAAAATTAAGAATATGATAAATTTCTGTGCATAAGTAATGCAGTCTTTAGGGTTTTTTTCTTTTAAACAGTGTGCACTAAACATAGGTGGCAAGCCATAGATTGTAGACCATGATAAGCTCAACCAAACCCACCTGTGTAATCACTGCAGCACTTGGCTTCTCAGCAGAGCACAGTATTTTTTTTTTTTTTTATGGGGTTTTTTTTTGATGCCAGAATGACAGAAAATTCCTTAAAGTACTGACTACATATTAAAGTTACTATCCTGTTCACAGTCCTGCTGCTCATAGGAACGTGAGGCTTTAGTAACTCAGTAAAAAGGAAGCAAACTATTTTTTACCTGGGTGAACTCCATGTAAAGTGACTGAAGTAAATCACTAAATTAAATGTTAAAGATGACTCTGTATTTTAATGTTACAGGTGACTCATGTATTTAAAATTGCAGGCTACCCGTCAAAATCCTTGTTTTCATTTAGAGGAGGCAGTTCTGATGTACTTTAGGCTTTAGCAATTCTCTCAGTCAAAGAGGAGATACGTAAACCCCAAGATTTCCTTCATCGTGGGCAATAAGGGACAGTCCTCTTGAAACCCAGGTGATACATCTGTAAAAATCCATCTGTTCTCAGCGCTCTTGAGTAGGTTTTCACAACTAAAGGCAAGGCGTAAGCCAGTCTGTTAGTAAATAAGGAGGAGGTTTAAAATACGGCAGATCAGGGAAGATGCGTGTGCAGTCTCCGGAGACATTCCCGGCGCCTCACTGTGATTCTTTCTTCCCTCCCCCCCCCCCATCCAGGTCCAGAGGTACAACGGGACAAAGCCATGACGGGCGAACAAATCGAGTCATTTGCCATCAGGCTGGGGGAGCAGTGGAAGGCCTTGGCCCCCTACTTGGAAATGAAGGATTCGGATATACGGCAGATCGAGTCGGACAGCGAGGACATGAAGATGAGGGCCAAGCAGCTGCTGGTTGCCTGGCAGGATCAGGAGGGCGCCCACGCAACCCCCGAGAACCTGATTGCTGCGCTGACCAAAGCTGGGCTGAGCGACCTTGCGGAGAGCCTGACCAACGACACGGAAAGCGGCAGCTAACTCCGTTCAGATGCTAACTTGTTGTTTGGTTGTGGCGGTGGCGGTCGTTGTTAATTGTGACTGTTCCGGCTGTTGTTGCCGTTGCTAATTGTGACTGTTTCGTTTGTCGTTAATTGTTACTATTCTTGTTAGGTAACAGATTTTTAATAGGTATTTTCTGTTCAATAAATGATAAAACTTTTTAATAATCTTCTTCAGTTGTCCAGATTTTCTGAGAAAAGGATGAGTGGTCCTGATGCAGAAACGGGAAGCTTCGTCTGGGGTGGTGGGAAGGTAAAAGGGAGGCGGGAGAGCGGAGGCAGAGCTCAGTTGGCTGGAGCGGGCGATAGTCTCTAACTGCCCCCTGTCTCCGTGTGGTTTCTCAGAGCAGGGGAGGTGTGAAGGACTTGGAAGGCACCGTTTGGGGCGGTGGGGAGCTGTAGACCATCACAATGTACCTGTCTGAGAGAGATGCAACTTCGAGAAAATGCTAGGGCTGTGATGGAGGCCCAAGGCAGAGCATCATTCATTTTCAGTGAAGAACCGGTGCCCGTGGAGGGCTGCTGTGCTCAGCCTGCTCTCCGGCTGAGGAACGGCTTCTCTCTGTACACTGACAGTCAGTAATCAGGGGCTCTTTATGCTTCTTTTTATTAGTAATTATTAAGTGCTGCATATGTTTGGCTATGTGGGAACAACCCTGAGTCATGATAAACACGGTAATTTTTTTGGCCAGTTCACTGTGAAGTGGTAACTGGTTTCCTTTTAAGGATATGGCTCGAGTGGTGGGTACGAGCTGTTGCACGTAGCTGGATCCATTTTCCCTCAAAGAGCAAGAGAGATTTTTGCAGGGGTGTAGCTAGCTACAACTTGTTTTGTGGCTATTTCTTGACGAATCTGTGTCATTCAGTAAAATCTCTAATTGCTGAGTGTTTGGAAAACGATGTGTCACACAACGTTGCAGAGCGGTGTTTCGGTTACTACGTCGTACCGGTGCGTTTCCAGGGCGGTCAGCTACCGGCTGGGAGGCGAGTTCCTGCCTGCAGAGCGGTCGATGAGAGCGTTGTGCCTGCTCCCCCACGTTGGGTTTAACTGTATGAGGAATTTGATGATTGGGCGCTTCAGTGAGGGCCAGTACGGGCTGATGTATGGGAGCGCCGTTGGAAATAACACAGCCTCAGTCTTACCTGTACAATTTGGTAGAAGGTAGGAGACATAATGATCACAGTTGATTAAGGGACTTGAGCAGATTGTGACCTGAGGGGCGTGGGGACGACCAGCAGCTCTTCTGAGGAGAGGGGTGTTGCTGCTCTTGGAAACGCAGCCTCCAACACCAGCTTACACCATCCATAACAGCGGTTTGCACTTACAGCGCGGGAGCGGTGTTTGCCGGTTCTGTGCGAAAGGGGAAAACGAGAACCCTGTTCTGCAGCTGCAGTGAAGTGAACGCGGCCTCCTGCCACCTCGGTGCTGGGGATGAGGACGGCCATGAGGCAAGGGGCCCGGTGAGTTATGGTCTCGATGCTTCAGTCACGAGCCATCATCCCAGTGCTCATGTTCAAGGCCAGACATGTGGGCACTCAGCTGTCCCCCCGATGTAGCTCTCAGCCCAGCAGCAGTGCAGTCTTGTCATTTTTGTGCATTTTCTGCATCATCTGACAAGTACGACCTCATCAAAATGTGACAGCACTGCTCTGGCCCTCAAACAGGCTTGAGTTTAGACCCCACCTGGGGAGAAATCCTGACTCTGAGGATCCCAATCACCAACTCAAGCCCCCAGCCCTTGGGTGTAACTGAAGGGTGGACCTAGCAGGACCTCCACTGGGACGGGCGATGGCAGGCTTGTAGACCCACGTCCGAACTGCTGCTTCTCCTACAGCGTTCTCAGTGTCCCAACCATTCATCAAGTGCATCTCATCCCAGCGAGACAGCCTGTTATACAGCTGTCAGACGTGACAGATGCACACCTCTCAAAATTAGGAAAAAGCAAGAAGAGCAGAAAAATGGGGCGGAACACTTTCTGGGAAGGAAAAACAGTTACCCTTTTTTCATACCTATCAGGCTGTGAGCAGTAATAAAAGATTAATTATTTCACAGGTGTAGGGCTGTGCAATTGTTCAGAACAGAAGGCTCTTTTAACTGCCAACAGCAGCTTCAAGGCAGGAAACACTGACCATAGGACCACAACTGGGAGGACGCGGTTCCACGAAGCAGTAACCAGGCCCTGGCACGGTCTCTCTTCTCCTTACCGCGAGACCGACCAAGCCTTTAAAAACAGAGGAGCCTGTACTCTTCCTGTGCGGTACACGGGACCAGAGCCAGTGCTGCACTGGGGCTTCCTTAATGGCTGCAACTTGCCTTTAAGCATCAGCCAACTTTTTAAAAATACACCCTTAGGCATGCTTCCAGGGGAAGCTGTGCAATAACCGGCAACACAGGCTGTAAGGCCGGAGAACTACCTGGGAAGGTCACGGGTGAAGCCGGGAGGGGAGGGGAGGGGTCCCTTCTGAGCAAGCGAGGCACGGTTAAACTCACCCCACGGTCACAGACACAACTGAAGGTATTTCATAGGAACATGGACTAGCACCAGTACAGCTCTCCCAGGAGGGACTGGGACACATTAAAAATCAGATCCTCTACCCAGAGGCTGAGTTCTGTTCCTGGCCTAGTGCTTTTTCTGGCCGTAGGCAAGACAAATACTTTCTTACTGCAGCTTCCCGCTAGCATACAGCTGCTGTACTCCTGCAGGGAAGGAACAGAAGTCACTGTGAGTAAGCAAAGCCCAGTTTTGCAGCCACCATACTAGACTACTGAGTGAAGAGTAACAGGACAGGAGATAAATCCCTACAGCTTAAAAAAAGGGGCTTTATTACATGATCGCTTCAAGACATTCATCAGTGGTGGCCCAGGAAGTGAAAACAAACACATACTAACTACACTACCGAGACAGGAACTTTTTTTTTAATGGAGACACATTGTTGATCACAATTTATTTTGAAGTCATGAGATGCCAGCAACAGAACAGACTGAGTCAGCAGGTCAGGCTGGACAAATACTTGATTGTAGCCACGGCTGTTGGCTATGGGCAGCAGCACTGAGTTACGCAACAAGGCAACAGTTCCTCTTCTACCTTCCTAACAAAACCGCCAGGTAAGGCAAAGGATGGACAGCTACTGAACTGTGGTATAAACCATGCAAGAGTAACAAATGTGAGAATAGGTGTGTAATAAATACTTGATGACTGCAAGACATTAAAGCTATTTTAAGTATTGTCACCACCACAGTGGGCAGTCCAGTCCAGCAGTGACTAACTGGTACATGGATCAGTTTTGAAACAATATCCCTCTTCACATGAAAAGGTTTGAACAGATTATTTATCCACTTGCTAAAGCTCTGGGGTTAAAGAAGTGATCAGTAATCAACATTTATTTCACACCTAGGCAGAATGACTAAGACCGAAGACTACTGTTCAGCTTCGTCTTCAATTACTTCGATTCTGCGAGGCCCGTAGAGTAGAACATAAGCTATATGCCAGTCTCCACCCCCAGATAACCTCAAAATATCTTCGGGTGTAACAATGCTGACTTTGTCATCATCAAATTTAATCCATTCATCTGCAAGAAAAACAAGAGGATTATTTGTAATTTAGGTACATCAAATCTAAGTGTGCCTAACAGCCCCTTAAATGAAAGAAGCCGTGAAGGGTGGTTAACAGTGCTTTAATTTTTTTTTTTTTTTACCTTGTTTCCTTTTAACCCAAGACACATAATGCCCAGAGGAACTCGATCTGCCTTGATGTGTTAGCACTGCCTGCAGGTCATAATAGCCGCAATTATTAGAACCAATATCTGAAGGAAGAAGGAAAAAAAAAAAAAAGTTACACGAGTCTTCAACGAACAGTTTTAGTGTTTTTAACAGCACGCAGACCAAAGACACGTTAGCCATACTGCAGCACCGTAGCTGTGTAAAACCTCATTTACAGCATGGTTCCAAGTCATTGTGAACCAAAAGCAACAGCTTTCAGCCAGGACAGCCCCTCAGGGAACTGGGAATGTTGTCGATTTTCATGACATACATATGTATCCTGGGTGTAATGCAAGTGCAGTAAGCTTAAGGCATTAAAAAGATGATGTATGGTCAAATAAACTTTCTGGAGAGGTTCAGCCAATACTTCCATCAAACATCAGCTGTGTCTGCATTCGGGGCGAGCCATGAAACTGCAGGGACTGATGGGCTGAGCGTAGGCCGTACAGCAACGCTGCTGGGAGTACTCCGGTACAGTACATCAACGCACTCTGCAGTCAGCTCAATTACGCTACGCAATTTTTCAATGGAAAAGACTGGCTAATCGCAAACGTACTGAGAAGGGTGTTACAGCCCCCAACACACCTTAACTGCATTTCTCAGCACTCTGGAATACCCTGTTTTCACTGTGCTCTTGAGCTGGTCAATGCCCCACGCCCCACACAGAAACCTCAGGAAGCACTGAACGGTAACAGTTTGGATGAACAAGACCTCCAAAATAATTTCTGCACAGTGTCCTCAACATGAGGGGGAACGCTTAGGACATTCAAGCTCCGAGCCCCCCAGATTCAGGCAACACTAGCACCACCACAGCAGTTTTAAAAGCCCAATTTAAGTTTTTGTTTTGATTTCAGCTTTCTACCACCCACTAACAAGGAAGCGTACAAAACTGCACATTACATGCAAATGTCTTTTGATGTGCATGTCTTCTGTGTATCATCAACGTGACAGATGGATGACAATTATGTCTTTGACTATCTCAACAGCATTTTGACTTGCCTAATCTTTCCATTCCTTAAATTCCTGTCAGTTTCTCAAGCTTAATTTTCAAAGGCATTAAAAATAACCAGGGTTCTCAAAATATTCCTACCATCAGGTCCACTTAAACACGAGTAAACAGAAAGTTACTTTAAAATAGATTTACTTCCCTGTACTCACCATCAGGAAAAGAAAATGGTTCATATTTAACTTCTTTCTGTGCACCATCACTTTTACTAGACTAAAGAACAGAATATGCTGAATTAATGTGGAATGGTTTTGAGAAAGCTTTAGCACAATCATATCAAATACAAACTCTCCATTCATTTAAAGGTGTTTCTAAGCCTAAACATTTTTTGTTCAACTTGAAACAAGCTCCATTACCATATTTCTAGCTGGACACCCAAAAGCCTAATCTAAACAAGATGACTTTTTAAAGCAAATATATAACGATTTTAGCACATATTGCCTAAACTGGTTACCCACCAGATTTACAGGCTTGGAGCACAAAAACAATTCTGCAACTGAAGGTTTAACTCCTTGTTAGGGACTTGCTAGCAGCAGAAGCGGCAACAAGAAAATACCAGAGACAGGCTCTAAGTGCCAATACGTTCTGTTTTAAAATAGCATTCTTTCCTTGCTCCTAACTGTGTAAAAAGAGATGCAAGCCTTATTCAAATGTTTAAATGAAACTGCCAGGAGTTAGGCCAGGAAAAGACTAGCAAACTTTAAAAAAAATGGCTAAATGCTACAGTTTTAGCTCGTTTACTTTTTTTCTTCATTGAAGAAAGGGAAGTCAGTTTTAGAATATGTAGACAGGGTAGGAGATGAAGCCATTTATCAAGTTTTTAAGAGTACAGTCTTTTAGCTCACTAGTACGTATATCCTAAATTTTATGAGTCAGACACATAGCACTCCCTTGTACAACTCTTTCGAGTTGGCGAGCAGGAAATAGCTACCTGTAGTTCACTGAACAAGTGACCTGCCAGCAAGCAATAATGTTTGAAGAGAATAATTTTGTGTAATTCACAGACAACCTCTAGGCATAACACTGGGAAGCAGAAGCACTACATTTTAACACATTTTGAAATAAAAATATAAGCAACATGTTTGTCTACAGCATTTAACATTTCTCATCAAGCAGTCATACCAAAGCAGATATTGTATTTTCATGAAAATACACAAAAAAGATCTAAAGCTCAATACCAACGAATTTGAATGCTAAATAAGAAAACAAAATATTTAAGGAAGTTTTCTCTAGTTCTTATTGGTACCCCAATTTCAGATGTATGACTTATTTAATAAAAATATCCACGAAATTGCCAGAAGACTTACATTCTTTGGCTGTTGATTTACTTTTTTGTCTTCTAGATCTTTGAATTTTGATCGATAAGAAACCATTTTTTCCTGAAGGTCTGGCGTACACAGCTCATACACATCCAACATAAGAGGAAACTTAACATCCTAGGAAGTAAAAAGCATGAAGATTGTTAGCATTATTTGGTACTCCACATGAAAGCATTCTCCCATGGGAAGACAACAATAAGTCCAATTAAATGCAACTCTCATTGCATTTATGACAACTTGATCTACTGAAATGTTGCTCACAGTACTTACCTAAAGGGCTACAATACTTTCACAGAAGAATGTCTGATTCAGTATAAACAAACCATCATAAATTACTACATTCAGTATAAACACTTAGATTCTTTATTATTAGCTGTCATACTTTTATACTCTGGAAATACCTATGCAGGCCTAAGGAAAAAAAATGCACGTAGAATGACTGTTCAATTGCAAAAATGTCAATTTGTGTTACCCAAACAATCTTCTAAAATAGTCAACACGTGCCTTCAATCTTTATTCCCTTGCTTCTCTGGTACGGAACAGGCATCATCTATGATGATGCTTCCTGGGCAGCCTAGGAGGTCCATCAGCCAAGGCCAACAGAAAGCAAAACTGGAACATTTAGCTGTTTGCAGCAGGTTCTTGCATTTGTCAATCAGAAAGCCAGCCAAAATAATTAATACAGGAAGTGTTTGTTAGCATACACATTTCTCATCAACTTCAGAACACTGTCGAGTGTCTGAAAGCATGGCCCTCTCCTTAATTAAACATTCTCCTCTGAACCACTGGGGAACAGAAACCAAAAAACATCCTAACAGTATTGGAGCAAATTCACTTCTGTCCCTTACCTCCTCCCCCAGTCTATTTTGGTAGCACAGTTTGCCACACATCATCACAACTCGGAACCAAGCTACTTCGTACTTCAGCAAAGAAACTGCATTGTTAATGTTTTTAAATGCAATTTAAAAGCAAACAATTTAGTAAATAGCCTTCAAGTATTAGTTGTCTACCTATAATAAAAACTCATTGAAAAGCATAAAGAGGAATTAAACTTCAATATGCAGAAAACTTACTCACCTTAAGAACTTTGGCATTCACAGATTCTTTCTCTTTGTAAAAAAATCTAACCATCTGAATAGTCAGGTACGCTGGCAAGCGACTAATTTTAGACTGTAAAAAAAATTTATAAAAAGCTATTACTCTAGATATTCACAGGTATTTTATACCTTAAACACTGCTCATCCTAAATTACAGGCTATTCTGGAAACATGTTTGTACACAAACATGTAGGAATATAACAAGGCTTTCTATTTTGAAGCTCTGTATAGTAGTGTACTCAAAGACATAATTTTCAACTGGTGTTAAATTTCTTGGTAGTGGATATTCAGATGCTTTATAAATATAAATCACATGCTGTCAGAGTAAGAACTTTGTGTTTTGGGACAGAAAATTGACAACAGTTAAAAGAATCATAAAGACAGCAACAAAAGTGTCACTCACAGATTTGATATAGAGTGCATTTCTCTGCAGTGTTGGAGAGAGTTTGGTGATTTCCTCTTGAAGACGCTGTTTAAAAAAAAAAGGTAGTAACACGTACGTTCATCATAAAACACAGTTTAAAGAAAAGCACAACATGGATAAACAAGCCATCAACTAAATCTTGGTTTGCCAATCTCTTCTGTTGCTATCAGCCATTTACAACACACACAGAATTTTGAAATTCCTTGGCAGAAAGGCTATGCCCATTCACTTGTTCAGCTCCACACTCATTCCTGAGCCCTGACAACACTAAGTTTCTCTCTGCGGAAAATTTTATCCTACAAGAGTAGAACTTGCAACTTAAATAACTGGATTTGGTTATGAATGTGTCATGTCATGGTTGGAACGCAACTGAAAAAAAAAAAAAAATCTGAACTTTCTTGTAACAGGAATATTTGCGCGTTTCTCAACTCTCAGTCTAAAGCAGAGCTGTATATAAGGAGCCAGGTGGTGATACTCTGCTTCCAGGGACCTTTCCAAATTCAGGGAAAGACTGACCTGGTTGTTAGTGTTGTGACTCTCTTGCTACAGGCAATCCAGCGTAAGAGTTCTAGAAGGCCCTTTCTGGCCTGAAAGTGAGGTTTCTTTTTTCATAATCTTTATAATTTGTGAGCATTAACTATTTTATCTTACTTTTCATTCTAAATTCTGTCAAAACAGAAAAAGCAGAAACACAGATTATCTGAGAACCATGCAACTTGGTCCAGTCCTGTATGAACCATATCTCTGCTTCCATCCCTGCTCTTACAGCAATACTCTGCAGGAGCAGTTACTACAACAAGGTTTTTGTAGTAACTCCTCTACTTGCTCCTTCAGATTCCCCAAAAAACCCTGAAAACTTGGAAACGTGTATATAAAAAGCACAGACTACTTTAAGAAGTCCTACTTAAATAAACAGTTTAAAGATGATGATGTGTCATGGGAGACTTAGCACCTCCTTCAAATCTGCAAAATCAAATTTAAGCTTAAGTGTTTCATCATTTGTTTTTTTTTTTTCTTAGAACACAGCAACCAAAAAGCCACCCTATTCTGACACTGACTTTTGGACTTTTTGGGAACCGTTTGCGGCTTGCTTAAATCATGATACTACTCAGTCTGAAGTGAAAGTCCAACAGATAGTTTCAAATTACAAGTAACAAATTGGCTTGCACTTGGTTACCTGTATGGGGAAGACCGCATCAGGGTCAAGAAAATGCTTTGTTAAAGTCTGCTTTACATTAACACACAATTCATTTTCACTTCCATCTTCCCATTGAACACCCCCAAAAAACCTTGGAACTTTGTAAAGCTTGCACAGCAGATGTCAATTCCAAGTCACAGATTAAAAAACACAGGTCATTTAGAATCTCAATTAAATTAAAAAAAAAAAAAAGTTGTAATGGCTTACCAATTTTAGTCCTGTAAACAGATATTTCACTTCTTGATTGATAAAGCAGCTAAGCTGAAGCAGATTCTCCTTTCCTTTAGTTACTTCCTCTTCTTCAGCTTCTGTACATTTCATGCTTCACAAAATTAAGGAAAACCATCATGCACCAAGAGCTGAACTATTGCTCTAGTGAAAAGAACATGCTGAACAGCATGGCAACCTACGATAATTCTGTGCTTGTGCATCAATAGTACTTTTACTTCTCGTAGTATAAAAATGAAGATTTGAAACAGCTTTTCCTTCTAACCAATCTGTTCCTTCATGTCTAATGACAAGTGGTAGCCGAGGCAGACAGCATACCAAAAAAAGTAAAATAAGTTTTTAATGACCATTTAAGCCTGTCAGGCCTGCTTTGTTCTTTTTTTCCCTCGTCACGCCCCCCAGGACACAGACCACACTAACTGGCTGCCAATACCAAGTCTTGAAGCTGTGCTGCAACATTATGCTCCGTTATTGTTCACAATTAATAAAGTTCTTCTATTCCTTCTACAACACGCACAGCCCCCTTTCCCTGCCTTGTATCTGTCCTCTTCACTGAAATGAAGTAAATTTCTTCATTATTTTCTACACGTTCTTCTAAACATTCTGTCCAACCTCTTCTTTTTCATACTTCTGCCACCAATCCTTTTCTCTCACCTACTTCCTTCTAATGAGATACTTTTCTGACTGCTCTGAATGCATCTATTCTACAAATGCTGCCATAATCACACTTCAAAGGCTTGCAACATGATTTTTCTACCAAGTCTCTTCCTCCTGCCATTAGCCTATGCATTATTCCTCTTAGCTACTCATACTGCTCCTCCCAACTATTTCAGGGATAACAAACATCACAGTACAGGGAGAGAGATGCATGACTCTTACCTTAAAAAAGGCCTTTAGTCTTCATTACTACCAAGCTATGAGATACAGTACCTCATCTAAGGGGATGTTTCCTTATTTCACACGAGCAAAAAGCCCAATGTAATTCTCTCTAAAAGTGGTGACGAGTTTAATGACGGCCAGGATTTTGGGGTGGAGAATTGGGAAAACAGTAATACTTGGCATGAGATGTGTGCCCCATGTGGTTTTTTTGTTCTTGCTATAAAAAAAGCTACTAGGAAGTTGTCAGCTGCCTTAGTTTCTTACTCATCTAACAGTGTGCGTCTAATCTATTTCTTAAGAAATCAATCAAGATATCTTTTGCCCATGTTTAGTATGCCAAGTGTATCAGCAACACTCCCTTACAAGCCAAAAAAAGGCTATTTAGGAAGATAATTACTTTCATTTGGATAAACCATCTCAGCATCCTTGAAGTAGTAAATGGCAATCTTCTCTGGGAAGGAAACCTGGTATTTAAATTCAGTGGGTTTTTCTGGAAATTTCCATTACCGTTCTTCCTCCCCACACCATCCTCTCTCTCAAAGTATATCCAATCTTAACTTTAACTTCTGTGTACTCTTGCAATACATCATTCCCTCTCTTCCCCAACACACACCTTTATTTTCTATACTATTCTGGACGATGTTTTTCATCCTCCCTGCACTCAACTGCTATGTGTGAAATTATCACTCTTTATGTCTTGCCTTAGTCTTTAGGATACGCTGTTTCAAATTCAATGCTGAAGAACTGATCGATTAAACTCTTCTTTTTAGAAGCTGCTGCTGTAGCTCCAGAGTCTGTCTGTAAAACAAATTCTCTTATGTTGTAACTTTAAATAGCACGTAAAGAAAGTCTTCTTTACAGACAAAATAACCCCATTTATTTAAATTCTTTGAAGCCTATTTCTTCACCTTTCTATAGGTGCGTTTTCTCCTAGTCAGTCATACTCCTTACACTGTATAAAAGCTTCGAAACAAATGCATTTATAGCATGCTGTTAAAGCCACCTCAAAGCACATCAGCAAGCAAGATTTCAATCAAAAAGTCACACCTCCCTGCCCCCCAACTTCAATCTGTCTGAAATTTTAGAGTAGTCTATCAGATTTTTGCCACCGCCAAGACTCTCCAGAAAACAGCTTACAGAGCAAGAAGAGAGTCAGTCTGGTAAAGTCTTGGGAAAAACTTTAAGTATTTCTTATCAGGTTGATGAAGTTAGCTGTCTGTTTGAAATAGCACAAGGATGGGGTTTTTTTTCAGAAAAAAAAGTTCTTATGTGCTAAATTCACAGGTTATGAGGGCCAGCTGCTGCGTACTCACAGTCACCACCACCCTGGTCCAACACATGACTTACAAAGCCCAATGGGAAAGTATTCCTATAGTACACTGCATAGCATAGCTGACGTGACATAGGCAGCATTATGCTGATCAGGTACAACAGAAAGCAGTTTCACTTATTGGACTGCAGGCACATGCTAAAGAACTCACAAACCAGATAAACCTTAGCAAAAAATATGTGAATCACAGGTACAATATTATAAATCCTAACTCTGGTTAGAGTAAGACTACAATTACCTCCATAACTGTATCACCTTCTATGCCTTCCAGTTTCTGCTGTAGTACCCTCATCATCTGCACCCAGCACTCATTTGCATCCTAGGAAGCGAACAGGACATTAAATCTTACTAGCAGCAATAGGATTACGTAATATTAAACCCATCACTCTTTACACTATACAACTAAATGTAAGGATTCCTTAACTAAGAATTTCTCCCTATTCCTCGACACATTTTCAGAGCTAGCGCTTAATATTACATTCAACTCTTCTACACAATACAAAAGCAAACACTTTACTGGGATACATTATTTTCACAGAAGAAGGGAAGTTTTAAAATATTCTTGTTCTCAACTTCCAGCACACTACAGAATTTTCAAACAATAAGCTAATAATCGGTCTTTACCTGTTGAAGGTACTGGCCTTGATCGCCTTTCTCTGCAAACTGTGGGAAGGCCATATGTAAAAACTGCAGGAGAATGATAGGTGGGATACTGGAGGAAGTTTTATCCATGGAATCAAACAAGTCTCTAAGAGCTTGAAGAAAAAGTAAGTGAATGCTTTGAGAAGGGGAAAAACAATTCAAAGATGGCAGGAATTTTAAAAAGAATAGTAAAACAGCAGCAACATTCAAAAACTGATCATTTAAGTGTCTAATTTGATCTTTCCAAAGCCGGACCAAATTTTCCAGGTGGCATAACAGGTGCACCTAAGATCTCATTTGTGAACATGACTTTGCAAGCACAAAGATGACAATTCTGAGAGTTTGGCACATAGTGCCTTGTCTTTCCTGGCTCCTAACAGAAGAAAAAAAAAAAAAAAAAAGCACAACATTTTTTAGCAGTTAAGATTTCATTTGAAACACATCTGAGGAACAATGTTTTCACAAGAGGACTACAGCTAGAGAAACCAGAAGGCATTCACAATCTATCCTCTAGAGCAGCTTAAGTTTCACCAGCTACTGGGAAAAAACTTTCATTTTCCCAAGTGAAATATCTAGAAAATACTCTGCTTAATTTAAGACCCAGGAAAACAAGTATGTGTATGCATACGTGCAGACAGTTCATAACTATGTGTAATTCAATGAACGCTACTGATTGCATGACAATGCACATGGCTTTCTTTTTTGCTCCAGACACACTACTATATATGTCTTATCTACCCAGGTTACAGCATTTTAAATCCACAAATCACTTCAGAGACATGGGTTAATCCTCACAACAACCCTGTGAGGTAGGCAACAGTCTGCATGGTCACTAATTTACAAGTGGAGAGACTAATGAATGATACTCTTGAATAAGTGAATATAGGCAAGATTACAAGGAACCAAGGTCAGTTGCTTCCTCTCTTTAAGAAATATCTCACTGACCTTGACAAGAGGGGCAACTGATATGACACAGCAATTAAAAAAAATGCCATAAGTGTCATGCAGGAGTTCTTGACCAGCTCAGCACCAAAGAATTAACTACGAATTACTTAAACTACTAAGATTCCTAAAAAGCAGAGCTGTCACCTTAAAAAGAAAACAAGGGACACGAAGTAAAGGCAGTGAAAAGGGGAGGGGCAGGCATGGCTGTATAGAGTAACCATTGAACTTACCACCCCAAAATTCGATCAGCAGGCATACCCACAAACTGGACCTTTCCTTCCTTATATTGTTTTGTTTTTCCTTAAATGGACTGGTAGAAATCCCAGTGTCCTGGCCCAGCATCTTAGTGGGGCAATGAAATAGAGTAAAAAAAGAAAAAGTGGACAAGTAGTACCCTCGTTCAAGTGTAAGGGGTCTAACTAGAATTCTAGTTAGAACTTGGAGATACGGGGCCATCGTGAGCTCTCACATTGTGAGCACCCAGATCACCACAACAAAGAGTAATTTTCCTTTTGAAGACACTACTTTCTATTTCAGTTATGAAATCTGGATCTTTAGGGTAAAGGCTAAGACCACTGATAAAGCATCAGCTACCACCTTAACAATAATGTTCAGCCAATAAATCATATGAAAAAATATCAACGAAATACATATTCTTGGATTATGGTGCTAGCCTACCATTAAGTGAAACAAAGAACAGTACACTAAAATATTTCTACACAAAATGATCAAATCAACAGATGGATGGAGTCTGCTTTAGGAAGTTCCAATTACTTTATGCCTACATGCAAAATGGGTAAGATATACAAATGATTTCTATCTAAGCCTAGATCACATTTGAATATATTTTTCCTAGCGTGCAGCTAGGCAATATTCAGAGATGTATGCTTTGCAGCCACGGTCGGATGTTAACAACAGAGCAAAATGAATCCTCCAGTGCTAGCAGATCTGAAACTCCTAAGGCATATGCACTAAAGAAAAAATAAGCAGAGCTCTAACTGCAATTTTCATCTGCAGTTAGCAGGAAATCACACACTAGCCTAAAACCCTGTGTTCTACTCTAAACACCGACCTGCAGTAATGTATTGAGCAGAGGCCATTTCTCCAGAAGCTCTTAAGGCACCACCATACCTAAAAGAGAAGAAAAATAATTTGTATGCAATTACACACAATCAAGAACAGCAGTCAGGTTTTTAAATCATAAAGCAGGCAGCAGCTACATTTATTTAAATGTATCAAAAGAAATCCATCACCAAAACAGAAGTAACTGAAGATAAGATTTACTCACACTCACCTCAAAGTCTCAGCTATTTTGCAAGCACTGCACGGAAGCAAAGGAAAACTGGCATCCTTGACACAATAAATAAATGCAGACTGAGAAGACTGGATACATCACTGCTGCTTCCCTAATCCGTTTGCCTCAAAGACTCAATCTATTTTTAAAGAAACTGAGAAAAAGTCTGAATAGGAGCTACCCCATTTCCGAAACATTTGCCACAGCTTCTTCAGATACGTGGAAAAAAACACCTTCAAGGATAGATAATGCACAGAGATGGAGGGCAGGCTTGCTTCCTCCCTCCACAGCAGAAGCAAAACAGTGAGAGGTGAGACATTTTTCTTGGGGAGATACTTCCTACACTGAAAAAGCATGGGAGTCCACCCATATTACTAGGACTTACCACTCTTCATTGAATGATTTCTTAATTTACCAGCTGCATGAGGAACAGATGGCCTCCTCAAAGCATATAAGCCAGGGGAAGTTTAGGTTGGATATTAGGAAAAATTTCTTCATCGAAAGGGTAGTCAGGCACTGGAACAGGCTGCCCAGGGAAGTGGTTGAGTCCCCATCCCTGGAGGTATTTAAAAGACGGATAGACCTGGTGCTTGAGGACATGGTTTAGTGGTGGACTTGGCAGTGCTAGGTTAACGGTTGGACTCGATGATCTTAAGCGTCTTTTCCAACCTTAACGATTCTATGATAAGCCTTCAAGCAAAAGGAGGGTCTCATGCATTCTTTAATCAGACAGAACTTTAAAAATTCTGTCCATTGCTAGATGATGAGCAGGAAACTTTCTCCTGACATGCTACAAAACAGAGAGTACCCTTGCAGAGATCAGTGGAGTAGCTGGTGAGAAATGAAGCCGTAATAGTAAGCTTTCCCATGAGAGTCCTTTCACCTCTGTCCCACTGCCATATACCCTTCCATGCTGTCGTCAAGCAGGGAAGGCCAAATAAAGGCTGCCTGTGAATCTGACTTCCCACAGACAATAAGGCCACACCTTGTATTGCAGTCTGCCAGTTTTATAGGGTACATTTTGACATTTGGTATGTTAAATTTGTCAAATACTCTGATTCAGTGCAGTAACTCAGAGTCCTTTACATGGAAATAAACAGACTTTCCTAAAATGACAACACTGAAAAACAATAAAAAGCTTTAAAACAGAGTTTCTGTACTTTGCAAATAGTTCTCAGTGCTAAATAATTAACATTCATCTGCTAAGAGAATGAAGAAAAAAAAATTATAAGTACTTAAATAACTAGGGTTTACAGTAACCTCTAGAATATCCAGCTGGGTACCGAGGTATCAAAAAAGCAGTGTATTTTAAAGGAATTAACCCTAAGATGGCAATGCTCTACCTAATCCTCATGTTTATTAAATACTGATGGTTTTCTCATTATAATTCATCTGGAGGACAAATTCAAACTCATATTGCCATGTATTCTTTTTATCTCCAACCTTCATAATTTTCAAGTTTCTCATCAATTCCTCACAAAAAAATTAGCTGTTTTCACATTTCAGTCCAGAATAACAACAACAACAACAACAAAAAAATCAGAAAAGTTATTCTACAATCAGAACAAATGAAACAAATTCTGTAAGGGCATGCATCCAGCTTATTCCAGTTTGCTGCCACAGTAACATCCATGGTCCTATCTCAGAGCTTCCTGCTGTACCTCTAAGTACCAAATGTTGGTAATGGCAGAATTTCATAGCTGAAAATGCATTGTGAAATAAAGCCATTGAAAAAAATATTCCTCAAAGGAACAGGACTCCCATATGATTCTTTTATACAGAACAAGACCATACAAACTAACACCAGAAAACAGGGTTAGGAGTTCAGTAGCTTGTTTAAGCATTTTAAACAAGTCTTGATAAGAACTATTTTTTAGCTAGCCAAAACACCTTCTCTCCACTAAAAGCCAGTTGCAACAAATATATAGTCTTAAGTTCTTTAAAACGTACAGACTAGCACAGCCACAGGATAAACTTTAATTGACCACTATGTTAATCTTGAATAGGTTTAAAGAATAACAGATTGTTATGATAGTCCATACCAGTATTAAGACGACTGTTCCACAAAATATCTATTTCATAAGCTAAACAAAACATTTTGGTCATGACATTTTTGTACTGAATCCTACCTTTTAAGGGCCTCTTTAACTTCTGGCACTGAGCGGATACACTGAACCGTAGCATTCATGTAGCAAGTGTTGCCAAGGTTTGTCAATCCACATGGTAATTCCATCTACCAAAAAATTTACAAGGGCACTTGAAGGTCTGAGAGATCTATGCAACCATCTTTGTATAAACGCTATAATTTGACAGCAACTTCTAAGAAAAGGAATGATCAGAGATGCGTAAAACCTGGAATATTCCATCAAACTTTATGAAGTTTTCCAGATTCATTTTCTGATTATATTAATCATTTCACCATTTGGTGCTTTTAGAGGACATTCAGGAATGCTCTGGGTTTTTTTCTGTGCATGTTTAGTTTAATGAACATATTCTTCAAGCAGGCAGTCATTCAGAAAGTTCAATTATAACCTCATTCAAGTTTTGACCTTAAAATTCTATTTCCATGCAATTTCCAGACGAATACATTTGTACAAAACACTAATGTTTTAATTTAAATCAGTTTTCAGTAAAATTCTGAATGTGATGAAGTTCATAGTTAGAAACAAAAGCATTATTTAAACTCCTCTCCAGAAGTCTGCAACAGAACATTAATTTGATCCTTTCAGACAACTTGTGAATTTCTAAAGTTTTGACAAATGTGAAGGCCAACTAATAATTAAACTAACCAGTTTCAGAAACAACTATAAATTACAACAGCTTTTTTTTTTAATCCTGCATATTTGAGTCGTTGTCAGGGAAAAGCACATAGTTTAAATGAAACTGAAGTAGTACTGCATACCAATACCACTTAATTATTTCAGGAAGAGAGAATTCCTTTAGCTGTGTATTCCATTTTTAATGAATACATGCAGTACAGTCAACTGAATTTTGATGTATAACAAAATTTGAATCAGAGAAATGCAACATGACCAACTTTTTCAAAATGTTAACTGACACTGAATCATCTCATTGTTTGCCTCTCAGTTATCTCAAAGTCTGTGTATAGGGTTAGTCTCAAAAATACATAAATATCCTTCACTTCATGGTGCCGTGGAGAGCATTAAACACTGAAGCACAAACGCAGGCCTACAGATCCATTTTCATATGGACATGCATAAAAGTATTCCTATGCTGCGTGCGCAGTTGACAACAGTCATGCAACTGTTTTAAACGTGACGAAGAGCTCCTAGTTCAAATGACCGATGAGAAAATTAAGCCTTTCAAATTGTAAAAAAGGAAACAAACAGAAGTTACTTCATTAAAAAAATAGATTAATTATACTCTTCCAGACTTTACTCCCATAAAGGAAAACACGTAATCTACGCCACTAATGTCAAACTTATTTTCATTTTTCAGGAAGAAAAGTTTACCTAATACTACTAACAAGGACAAACAAAACCCCAAACACACCCCACCCCAAACAAACCCTAGTTTCACTTCACAGATATGAAGGAGGCAGGAAACAATTCTGCACATCTACAAGCCCTTATTCAGGCAAAGTTCAGGACACTGATACAGCAAGGGCAATACAGCTTTGTCTTTAAAAACATCAGCAATGCTATTTTTAGAAAATTTACTAAGCTGCCTGCTTAAAGAGAAAACAGCACTAGTTATATGACTTTTAAATTAAATTCCAGACTTCTCATCACTGCTACCAGTTGGGTCATCAAGGTAAATTTGCATTTCTTTGAGAAGTTATAAATGCTAAAGAGATATTACAGTTTCAAAATCCACTTTTAAGCAACTGCAAGTATTTAAAAACTTGCCATTATTCAAAGATTTACAAGAAACAAAAGTTTGAAATATGCTTACAGCTGAAGCCAACTGCTCCTCTGTCATGTCTTCTACAAAGATGGGTCGAGCAATTGGCTCTTCCGGAAGCGCATCTGCGGAACCCATCATTAATAAGGTCATCCCCTTGAAACACAGTAAAAATAGTAATAAATATTTAAGGGCAGTTATTTCCGCTTAAAAAAAAAAAAATCATTAATCTCTTGACGTATTTCAGCTATTTCCCCAAAAATGAACACAACCTTTCTCTTAGTTTACAGAACTGATACTGCACTGTTGTTAAGATCTTATGGGTATAGCATAACTTTCTCGTTATCTACAACGTACTTATTGAGAACAATTCCTCTGCATTATCCGTGCTAGACGTTTCCACCGAGCCTGGTGAGCTTGCCAGCAGCTGACAACGCAAGATTCCAATCGGGACTAAATTTAACATTCATGGAATACCCCAATGTGAAGTGTTCAGAAAAGCTCCCTTCCTGGTGGACCACTAGGGATCAAGCATCTTCAACACTTCAGTGCAAACATTCCTTTTTCCCTTAAGTCTTAGAAAAAACCTTGGAACCAAGGATAACTGAGCAGCTAAACTCTGATTTGAAAGAAGCTGCAACATTTGAGCTTCTCAATCGACAGAGTCTCAAGTTCTCAAATTCAGAATTCTCTAAACAACAACAAAAACATCCCTAATCTTTAGCCTAGAACCTAGGGAAACACTTCGGACAAATGTGGGTAATAATGAGGACCACAGCTCTGAGTTTGGAATTGTTTTTTTCACCTGAAAAGCAATCTGGAAAGGGAAGTGCCATCCTTTGGTCTGGCAAGTTCTGAGGACATTAAACTAATCGAAAAGTGAAAAATAATCAAAATGACCCTGTCAGTTTAGGCATGAGGACTAACACTCAGGGGGGAAAAAAAGCAATCAAGTTACCATGCTTGCTGGACTAGCATAAGGAAAAGGAGTTTTTCCAGCATTCAACAGGAGTACATCTACACAATAAGATCTATCAAAGGGGGAGAAAATGGCTATCTGGGGCCTCGAAAAATACAACACTAAGGAAAAGGATGGACAACAGAATGGAAAGAAACTGCTTTGACAGTGTAAATAAATCCCTAGAACTTGTATATAACATTATTAACATTAATAAAGGCAGCTATTAGCATAACAGTATGCAGAAAAGGACAAGAATATTATGTACTGGGGTTTTGCTGAATGACTTTGCTACAATAGCTGCAGCTACAGGCTGCTAATAGATGCTCGTGAACGAGCTACAAGGGCAAGAGTAATGCTACCTAATTCAATATGCTCAGTGAAGAACTGGATTAAAACCTGTACCAAACAGATGTTACAAGATACCTACAGAAATGAAATGACCAAAAAAACCCCAGCTAAAATCTTTGGGATTCCCTGTTACAATATTATATACGTAAGAAACACAAATACATTCACTTTCTCTTTTCTTTTTGAACTAGTCGAAGGTATGAATAATCATGACTAATGGCTTTGTTTTTAAACAGCAGCTACTTAGTACAAGATGACAAATTTCAGCAGGTTGATAAAAAAAGGAAATAGGCAGAGCTGTAACTTCAGCATTTGTAACGCAATGGTTTTCCATGCTGAGGATGTACAAGCACAACAGACCACAGACAGTGCCCAGGTCCACAAGCTCTCTATAAATAACATCACTTACTATTATAGTCACAGACAGAGAACACAGAAGGACCACTGGTCTGACCCACAACTTTTCTTGTAAGAAAGAAAGAAATCTATGCTCCCAAGTACTTCAGGAAGATGGTGTAATTTCCCTACTGATGCCATAAAAGTTTTTTTTACAAATCATTGGTGAGAACTTTGTAAGAACGCTTAGATACGACAACTACAAAATTATTTTTCATCAAGGTCTGATTTTTAAGAAAGAGTTACCCATTCAAACAGAAACAGCAAGAACTTTAAATCTTTCTTTAAATGCCAAAATAAAAATCAACTTAGTAAAATTCAGTTATTCCTCAGAACTTACGTTCTTTATTTTTAGGTTCCCCCAGTCATCATCCTGTATTTGAAATGAAATAAAAGACAAGTTAATTATCTTTTAGCAAGACAAGCAACTATTTTCATTAATATTAACCACATATTTCTAAATATACAATTGTGTTTCATTCAAGATTCCACAATATTAACTATTAACACATCATCAAGTCTTGTCTGAATAAAATAAAAAGCAGCCAAGTCGACTTTTCAATAAGGTTCTTCATCTGTTGTTCAACACTGCTTAGATCTAAATAACTTTTTGTAGGAAAGTTGCCGATATCACCTTACATCAATGTCTCCAGCAAACAAGTGCCAGAGAAGCTTTTCTTAAACAAGCTAAAAAGCAAAAAGTTGTATTCAGATTCTGCACATTAAAAAGGAACAGAAAAAAAAAACAAACCAACACCAAGCAGAATAGCATTTGATATAAAAGAGTGAAGAAGTGTTTTCAACCAGCTGTGTACCTCGTAACCATTTAGCAACAAACTTTTGCCGGTATCTTCTAGTAGTAGGCAACGAAGCATACAGAATTATTTCTGAAAAGTGTAGTCAATTTAATACATGCAATGAAAGATCTTCTGAAGGAACACTCGGATATATGGTCATTGCTCATTATGTTACAATGTAATAAAGTTAGAAATAATATAAAAACCCCACGGATTTCTACCTTCAGAGTTCCTCCTTTAACCATAACCTTCTGTCTAGCTGGCTGAACTCCAGTCAGTGCAAACAACTGGGCTTTGAAGACCATTGGAGGTTCATCAGTGTTAAGCTCCACGCCATCGAATTTCTCTTTTCCCCATTTCACGTTAACTGCAAACAAAATGTTTTGAAACTAGATTATTTCCTAATATACAAGAATGTAATTACCAAGATGAATCCAGTATTTCAAACTCCAGACTTTATACCATCTCAAAACATTCAGTTAAACATTCAGTCTAAAACTTGTCAATAATCAAGCTAAGGGACACCTTTTCTACAAGGTGTCTCAGCCATCAGAACATATTATTCCCAACAAGTCTAAAAATATCCTACAAAACAATTGTAAGCAACACACATACTGAGAAACTCTGCAAGTAATAAATGTGTATAACAGCGTCAGAAATTCTCTGGGCAAACCTTCACAAAAGCAGCTCGAAAGCAACTCTCCCAATCTCTTGGCACTGCTCATTGCAAACAAATTTCTGAAGGAAGTTCAGACATGCAATTCCAGTTCAGTTTTCCATAGCATTTCCATTCTCCTTCAACAGCAAACAATACCATGTTCTTTAAAAGCAAAGCAACTGTTTGACAGCCATAGTTTTGGCTACCAGTATCGTTCACATGGAGCTACGAGAGGAGGTCAGCATGCGTCAAGACAAGCCCCATAAAATAGCACACCTCCTGCTTCTTTTCAACAGAAGGTTAACCTCACAGCGCCATTTACACCACCATTACTGCTACCCTCCTCAGTTTTGACAGCGTTCACACGGACAATGTACCTGCATGTAAATACGGACAACAGCCTAGCACAGGTTGCAGCTCTAGAAGCCCTGACCCCAGTAAAGGTGCAGGACTGGAATTAAGTGAAGTGAAATTTGGTCAGGCAAATTGTAGCTATCAACGATGGAAATGGGATCACCAGCAGGAACATTAGGCAAAACGACACAAAGGCACGTTAAATTCACTTTGGTAAAGCTAGTACCAACCAAGAGCAGACAGGAATGAGGTTACACATCTTTGATCACTTCCAATCACTATCATAGGTAAACAAGGATACTTTAGCAAGCTGCAGTTCTGCTGAAAATCTGCAAAATGTAGCACACAGTAACATCCTAGGTGCGCAGTAAGTGGCTGAAATACCATACTTTAAGAAAGCCATATCCTTCCTTCTACCTGTGCTTCAGTTTTAAGTAAATATACTACGGCAACTCTAGGTTCTCGTGATTTAAAAAAAACCTTCCAAGAAGGTTAAGATTTCAGATGTATGCAGTGCTTGTGATGGGCAATAAGGAAGAATAATCTAGTCTAAACTAGCCTACAAAACAACTCAAATGATGGGCTTTTCAGTATTTCTACCAGAAAATACCTTCTGATGTTTGCCCAACCTTCTGACTTTTTTTTAAAACACATTTATTACTTTGCATATTTAAGACCTACCAAGCACAAGTCCTTTCCCATTTTAACAGAAAGGCAACCCACTCAGTCACTGAACAACTCAGCTGCACACAGTCTTTTAAGTTTTCCATTTTTGAACCCTCATGCATCCACCGCTAAATATGCAGAACAGTTTGCAATTATTAATCCGTAGTGTCACTGCTTTTGACAACTCAGCACTCAAGAGGAAACAGAAGAGCACGAGTGTCTTTTCTTCAGAGATCACAATCGGAATTTCCACCAAAAGTTTCCAAACTAAAGGAGAAAACTGTTAATTTGACCACAATGGAAACGAAGAAAGAAGGACACGTTTGCCCCACTGAACAGAAAACACAGCTCATACAGATGTACTAGGGTTCAGGAAAAGTCCTGTTATACTGACATCAGGATCCCAGTTTGCCAACCACAATTAAAATAGCAGAGAAACAGGGACACAACTGTGTATTGAGGCCTTCTGCAATCTGTTCCTCACGTACTAAAAAGCCCCAAGAGGCCAGACCTGTGAAACATAAACAAGCCAGTAACTGGTCTTAGAAGCGTCAGTGGAGGTTTTGCTCTCGCAGTCTTCACCAGAAACTTTCCTTCACGGCAAGGTGGGCGAGAGGGATGTGACGCAATTTAAGAAAAATGTAATTCCTCTGGTTTCAACTAGGAAATAATGGATTTAAAAGAGTGGAGGCACATGCACCTAAATAAATTTGGAGGCGCGGGCGCAGAATTATGGCTCAGTTGACAGAAAGCAGCACCGATCTCCGTACAAAGCAGAAATAAACCAAGAACGGGCAACACCGAGGCACGATGGCAGGCGATACGCGTGCCGACACCCGTTCGCACGCCGAGCCTTGCCCAAAGGGGCCTCCCGGCCACCCGCCGCGCTCCCCCCTCGCCCCGGTCGGGCCAG